AGTGCCATTCCATAATCCACGCGGTGATCACAGCCAATAAAAATGTAGTGGTCGAGTCGTTCATAGCTGGCGTTCGTGAGCACGGCTTCCCGATACAACGGCCGTCAACTGGCTCTCAATCAATGTTGTGCAAGGTACGATAACGTAATCAAACGATGACGTACTGAGGGCCATATTTACCAAACAGAGAAATTGTGCTGTTTAGGGCAGTTTTTCTACTTAAACGTATACCAATGGTTAAAAGTGAAATTGCTTAATCACATCTGTTGCCTCCTTCAATATCTTCAAATGTGAAGCATTCCTTTTAACGGAGCCATATATCATACAGGTGACCACAAAGCACATAAGATATACACCGTTGTAATCAGAATTGAACAAGAAAACACGACTCTTTAGGTTTTGTGGCGCCACAAGCCATGGCCTCGTAGGTATCATACTGTAAAGCTGAAAAATGGCAATTTTCTAGAGCATTCTACCTTTGACCTACTATAAGGGGGCCAATTATTGACCACACATGAAGGCTTGAACCAATCGCGAGATCTCGGCGAGACCAAGCCACCGGTGTTTTCTGCCAAGCTCTATCTTTATTAGCTTGAAACCCAGGGTGGATCCCATCAACTCCACACCCCTATCAGTTCGCGTTATAAAATGCCTTAGCAGGGCAAAGGTTAGGGGCATGACAAAATCCACTTCAGTTATTACTTCACGTTGTCTAAGATATTGCATCAGCATCACAAAAGTTTAAAGATCACGACTTTGTGATTGCCACTCTGGAAGTGCAGAGAAAAGTCAGAATACGTTACGTCAACTGCCTTGCCTTTCGATGTGGATTTCCACCGTTTTTAAGAAGCTGGTTAGGTTTGCTTTACACGAGCAATGACGCATGAATCCATGTTGTTTGCGAGTCAAAGTGGGATAAACGTATCTCAGGAGACAGCCCTATACTGTACTTAGGTTTTACTGTGCTTAGGTTATAGTCGTGCTCAGCAAGAAAAGGAGCAAAATTGTAAAGTAATCAACGGGAATTTAACCGATTCCTTTTGAAATGGGTACGACGTTGCCCACCCTGTTGAGGAGATGTCCTGGCGTAGATGCAAGCACAATATCCGCGCCAGATCGACAGAGCGGGCTTTCCAGTCGTCTGGTGCACTTCTCGGTGCTGCGCCGCTCATGGCATCCGGATCGCCGGGCTAATAAACGTGCAAGTCATGCAGATCCGACCTAACGGTCACCTCTGAGATGGGGAAATGGTTTGACGTGTAGAAGTCGTGGTTGGAAGACTTGGGAAAGTGTGAGGTATCTGGACACATGTACTTGGCGGCAGATACTCGCTTCAACAGGTTGGCTCGCTCTAAGTCGCCCGGCAGCTCCCTATCGCCGCCTGATAGGACCGAGACCGGTCTTTAGAACCTACGATGTGTTTTAAAAAGGACCAGAAAAGCTTTGGGCTGTGATTAAAATTCCCTATGATGGCCCTGGTATTTCACCATGCTTGGAACAAGAGGATTTTTAAGGTCGTTTTGCTAGAATTTAGGAACGTTACCTGAATTTTCGTTTCGTCCCGTGCGATTAAGTCGTCCCTACTTGCTCAGGGATCGTCTGAGCTCATGGCCTTACCAGGGTGGGGAATGCCGTCGGAGCGCGACAGGTGGCACGCGACGCGAGGATGACACGTCTTCCAGAGACCGAGCAAGTTCATGAAGCCTGCAACCAGCCCTGAATCCTGATTTGTCCGGAGTCATTGTCACCACTCCGTGGCGAAAGTTGTGGCGACCGAACGTGCGACGTGTAATTTAACCAAAGCATTTTGTATTTTTGTAACTGGTAATTAACTTGCGAACTGCCTCACGTCAGGCAGTGTCGGCCCACTACTCCCAAGATGCATGCCCTCAGATGGACATGCATCGATATGACATCAATGTGGGCACGACTTGCTAGCGTCACCTGGTTGGCGGTGTTTCCAGTTGACAACTCACAGATGGAAAAGCAACTCTCAGTGGCGCAGTTCTCAGATGGAAAACCGGCAACTCTCAGTGGCGCAGCTCCAGATGGAGAACCGGCAACATCTCAGTGGCGCAGTTCTCAGATGGAAAACCGGCAAACTCTCAGTGGCGCAGCTCCCAGATGGAAAACCGGCAACTCTCAGTGGCACAGCTCCAGATGGAAAACCGCAACTCTCAGTGGCGCAGTTCTCAGATGGAAAAGCAACTCTCAGTGGCGCAGTTCTCAGATGGAAAACCGGCAACTCTCAGTGGCACAGCTCCCAGATGGAAAACCGGCAACTCTCAGTGGCACAGCTCCCAGATGGAAAACCGGCAACTCTCAGTGGCGCAGCTCCCAGATGGAAAACCGGCAACTCTCAGTGGCGCAGCTCCCAGATGGAAACCGGCAACTCTCAGTGGCACGCTCCCAGATGGAAAACCGGCAACTCAGTGGCCAGCTCCCAGATGGAAAACCGGCAACTCTCAGTGGCCAGCTCCCAGATGGAAACCGGCAACTCTCAGTGGCGCAGCTCCCAGATGGAAAACCGCAACTCTCAGTGGCACAGCTCTCAGATGGAAAACCGCAACTCTCAGTGGCACAGCTCTCAGATGGAAAACCGGCAACTCTCAGTGGCGCAGTTCTCAGATGGAAACCGGCAACTCTCAGTGGCGCAGCTCCCAGATGGAAAACCGGCAACTCTCAGTGGCACAGCTCCCAGATGGAAAACCGGCAACTCTCAGTGGCGCAGTTCTGATGGAAAACCGGCAACTCTCAGTGGCGCAGCTCCCAGATGGAAAACCGGCAACTCTCAGTGGCACAGCTCCCAGATGGAAAACCGGCAAGTCTCAGTGGCGCAGCTCCCAGATGGAAAACCGGCAACTCTCAGTGGCGCAGTTCTCAGATGGAAACCGGCAACTCTCAGTGCACAGCTCCCAGATGGAAAACCGGCAACTCTCAGTGGCGCAGTTCTCAGATGGAAAACCGGCAACTCTCAGTGGCGCAGCTCCCAGATGGAAAACCGGCAACTCTCAGTGGCACAGCTCCCAGATGGAGAACCGGCAATCTCAGTGGCGCAGCTCCCAGATGGAAAACCGGCAACTCTCAGTGGCGCAGCTCCAAGATGGAAAACCGGCAACTCCCCAGTGGCGCAGCTCCCAGATGGAAACCGGCAACTCTCAGTGGCACAGCTCCCAGATGGAGAACCGGCAACTCTCAGTGGCACAGCTCTCAGTTTGGAAAAACCGGCAACTCTCAGTGGCACAGCTCCCCAGATGGAAAACCGGCAACTCTCGGTGGTGCAGCCCCCAGATGGGAAACCGACAACTCTCAGAGGCACAGCTCTCAGATGGAAAACCGACAACTCTCAGTGGCACAGCTCCAAATGGAAAACCGACAACTCTCAGAGGCACAGAGGCACTTTCAGCAGTTACGGGGCACGTACATTTTCACCCCGTGATGACGCCCACCCTTTTGAAAGCGGCGCTCGCGTGTTCAAACCTGGCATCCGGGTTCCGTGAGCGGTTGGGTTTACCCACGCGAACGTTTGCCGCACTATCAGACGGCCGCCGGCGGCCAATGTAGCGTGACGAGTGACCTCTGATGTAATGACCACCAGCGCGGTCGCGGAACACGCTGCGGCTGTCGGCCGTATGGCGATGCGGGCGGGCGCGCAAGGACTGTCGTATGATGATGCAGGCGGCCGCGCAAGGACTGACGTGTGGTGATGCAGGTGGTCGCGCAAGGACTAACGTATGATGATGCAGGCGGTCGCGCAAGGACTGATGTATGGTGGTGTAGTAGGTTGCGTAAGGACTGACGTACGATGATGCAGGCGGTCGCGTAATGACTGGCGTATGGTGATGCAGGCGGTCGCGCAAGGATTGACCTCGGCATCCCAACAGCACAGGCTCCATCAAGCAATACAAGTGCAGGGATAAACGGTCCGGCTAGTAACGCAGAACACGAGCCCACGGTACGCCAATTGTAGCAATGTGATTTGGCAGATCAGAGGTATTGACATCACTAGTCATCTCTGACAACGCTCGGTCGCGACCATTGGCTCTAGCAAGACGAACTATATGGAATGCTTCATGTTTGAAGACATTGAAGCAAGCATCAGATATGATGAAACAAGCTCACTTTAACCATTGGCGTACTTAAGGTGGAAAACTGCTCTAGACAGCACAGTTCTGTGGTCAGTAAATATGTTCAACGTGCTGTGGTTTGATTACGTCATCGTGCCTTGCACAGCATTCATTGAGAGCCAATTGACGGCCGTTATACCTGGAAAACGCGCTCACGGACACCGGACATGAACGCCTCGACAGTTATATTTTATGTTTGTGTGAGTGTTGATCGCCGCATGGCTTATGGAACGGCAGGATTTGAATGACGCTGCTATAACGTCATGAATGCCAAGGTGAATTTAAAATATTCTCCCAGATATACCTTTTCCCATTTTCGCGGGCGTGCAGCTCAGAAACTAGCAAGAGATTAGATCTTAAGAACGGCAGGATTGTGAACAGCACCGAAGGGTCTTTAAGATGGTTACTTCAGCTCAAAATCCCACATAAATGTGGAACACTCCCTCTAAGAGACTCGCAACAGAGAACACTCTGAACACTCTGAGAGACTCACAACAGTAGAACACTCCCTCTATGAGATTTGTCATTTTCGGGACTATTTGGGACTCGGAAATGGCACGATGACGACGAGTCGGACAGACCGGTCACCTGGCGTCGCAGTTGGACGACAGGGAGTGAAGCAGCAGAGCCGGCCGTCGTAAGCCGGCGACCGGGGACCCGCCTTCGAATAGGTTCCGACACTGACCGCACTCCCGCAGCCAAGAGCGCTGCAGCCACCCGAGCCGAGTGTCGCGCGGAGTTCGAAGCGCGGACGACACCGCATTGCTAGCGCACGATATCCTTCCACAGAAAGACTCACGGCGATCATCCCCGCGCTCAGACTGTTTTTGCTCTGCGGTCATCTTCGTCGGCGCACAGCAGATCAAGACAATCAGCAGGCTGGTCCAGTGTATTGATGGGCTCGAGATTTCCTTCCACAATGGACGCGCGCACCCCATAGAAAACCAGTGACAACAACGTCCCGACATTGGATAACACCCGCGGCAAGTCACGTGAGAGGCGGTAGACTAAACCGTTTTAAAATACTGAATAAATAACAGAACAGCCCCGGAGAACCGCAATAGCGCGTAGCAAAACTCTGGCCCATGATGCACCGGACACCTGAAGGGACACATCGTTCCTAGGTGGTGTTGGGTTGCGGTCATTGTTCCACCTTCCCCTTTTTCATGCCGTCCTTCTGCTTTTTCGACTTCTTCGACTCCTCCTGGTCGATGGGGGCCGGCTTCACGAACGGTATCTCCTCCTGGTACACTGTCGCCACACGCCCAGGATGTGTCAGCAGCTACTCCAGACGATGTGACATGGGCAGCGACATACGCGTCATTTCCCCAACGTCAAATTACACCGTTCTCTCCAGTTCCTCGGTAAGAACACCTCACTGCCCGGCATACGTCCGTCTCTTGTTTTAAGTTTTAACAAAGCAGCGCTCAGGGGCCATGGCGCAATCGGTATCCGAGCACGGGTCCCCATGTGGGATTCCGGTGAGCTAACCACTCGGCCATTACGATCCGCGAGCATTCCCTGCGTCGGGTTCTCAGCCTCGGGCAGTCTCTGTCGTTCGTCAACCCCAGATACTCACCCTCGGGCAATCTCTATCGCTCGTCAGCCCCAGCTACTCACCCTCGGACCGTCTCTATTCCCGCCAGCTGTCTCCACCCCCGCACCCGTACTCACTCTCGGGCATGAAGGGCCGCAGCACCTCGGGCACGGTGACGCCGGTCTCGGTCTGCCCGAGCTCCAGCAAGGCACAGATGACCCGCGTCGTGGCGCACATGGTGGCGTTCAGCATGTGCACGTAGTCCACCTGCGGGCGAGGCAGCGGTCAGCCATCAGACGTCAGCGGACCGCCTGACCCAGACGAGGTCAGGGCCACAGGGCCACAATGATTAACGTTGTTGAGGGGGGCGTTAGGACCTCGGTCCGCGAATACCTAGGCCAGGCTTCAGGTCGCCTTCTTCGGCTTTTTCCAATTGGCAAATTCTAAGCCTTCCATGTTAAACGCGTGGAGGAGACGAAAGTGCGGTGACCTTGCAAAGTCATTTTCGCTGGTAGCCTGATAACATTTGCAGGCAATCCCAGCATGCTTCAAACATCCTGCCAGTAAAGGCCGAGGGAATATTACAGCACAAACTTCACGGGAGGCTCATTACCGGCGTGATTGGTCGGATCGTACCGCTGAAACTACTACATTTATGGTCAGTTAGGAGGTTAAGACGGGCTCGGCCCGCGCCCCCCCCCCCCCCCCCCCCCAACGGAGGCACAATGCTCAGGGCCGAGCAGCAACCATCGGGGACAGTTCACCGGCATTCACGACAAAGAAACCCGACCAGCTCTCGTGCGTTACGCCCAGCATCACCCGCTCCCCTACCGCTCCCAACGCCACGGACGATCCGCTGCTGGTCAGTTGCACGCCACCCACGCACCGAGTGCAGTCTCCGAGCCAGCCGGGCGGGCGCCCCCAGTCCCCGCCGTGTGCCCAACTACTCCCAACGCCGCCAACGACCCGCTGTTGGTCAGCCGCCCCGGGCATCGAGTGCGGTCGGGAAGCCAGCCGGGGGGGGGGGGGGGCGCCTCCAGTCCCGGACGACTCACCTTGTCGCCCATCTTCTTGGTCTGTCCGTAGCGGACCCGCAGCCGGCGGGACTGGTAGTCGGTGCAGTTGCTGCAGGAGACGAGCTCGCGGAAGGCGCCGCTGCCCGGGAACCACGCCTCCAGGTCCAGCTTCTTGCTGGCGGCGTTGTTGAGCTCGCCGCTGACGATGTTGACCACGCGATAGGGGATGTTGAGCGCCTGGCAGAACCTTTCGGCGTTGCTGATCATGTCGTCCATCATCAGCCAGCTGGCGTTGTCGTGCGGGGAGGTCAGCACAAACTGCTCCACCTGCACAGAGGACAAAACCACCAGATGAGGTTAGCACTGCTAGTAGCCAGGGAACGAAAAATGGAATGCGTTGATCCTCGTGACCACGTCTTGTGCCTGCAGCGGTTTGACGCTAACGATACCTGGCCCGTGCTGCGAACTGTATTCATCCGTAACGACACCTCGCTCAGAGACAAAGCCCGTTGCAGGCTATCTATTTGCACCCCTCACGTACCGACCGGACCCGAGACTGGTCCTGTCAGTCAGCGGCGCGCCTGGAGCAGCGCCCGATCTCCGCGGTACCCCACGCCCACCCGCGCCATCGGCTGCCTCCAGCCGACCCCGCTGACCTTTTCGAACTGGTGCACGCGGAAGATGCCGCGCGTGTCGCGGCCGTGCGAGCCGACCTCCTGGCGGAAGCAGGTGCTGAGGCCGGCGTAGCGGATGGGCAGCGTCGCCTCCGGGATCCACTCGTCCCGGTGGAAAGCGGCGATCGGCTGCTCCGACGTGGCGATCAGGTACTTCTCGTCCACCGAGGCGTCGTCGCCCCGCTCGCTGCCCTTGCCCACCACCTGAGGGCGCCGGTCGGGCGTGAGGCCCCGCTCCGCTGGCTGCGGGGGCGCACCGTCTCTGGAGGCCCCTCTCACCCGGGCCGACTCACACGACCACCCACTGCTGAGACGCACGGTGATGATTGCGGGGTATTGCAGGGACTTCACGGTTCATTGACCACTCGGCTGTAAAGGGTGTGTTGCATGCATTTTAATATTGCACACTCTGTCCATAGAATTCCTAAGGAACCCCCCTCCCTCCCTCACCTGTAGCTACTTCAGTAGCTACAGCGCCCACCAATGCCACCTGGTCAGAGGCCACCAGCCGAACCGGCCACTGCTCTCGCTCTCATTCTATACAGCTCGTCGTCAAACTGGCCGTCAGAGACCACTTACCCGAGGTCGGTCTCCGACCCGCTCGCCTTGTACAGCCCGTCGTCGAACTGGTCGTCAGAGACCACCTGCCCGGAGTCGGTCCCCGACCCGCTCACCTTGTACAGCTCGTCGTCAAACTGGCTGAGCTGGGCCACCTCCTGCATGATCTCCTTGCGCATGAAGAAGGGCGTGTAAAGCGGCTTGAAGCCCTTCTCCAGCAGCATGCGCAGCGCCAGCTGGACGATGGCCTGCTCCAGGAAGACGGCCGGCCCGGTCAGGTAGTAGCCGCGCGCGCCAGACACGGCCGCGCCCCGCTCGCCGTCCATGCCGTCGATCATGTGGATCAGGTCGACGTGCGAGTAGCGCCGCCGGACGGCGCAGTCGCCCGACGTGCGCTCCACACCGTTGTTCTCCTGCCGGGGGAGGGCGGCCGGTCAGAGGAAACACTCATCCCTCGGGGCGAGTCGACTCTCGGAAAGGTCGATACTGCGGCCTCGGTCCAAGTCAGGTGACGGGGCGAGGAGCAGTCGCGACACGTCAGGTGACGGGGTGACGAGCAGTCGGCGACACGTCAGGGACGGGGTGACGAGCAGTCGGCGACACGTCAGGTGACGGGGTGACGAGCAGTCGGCGACACGTCAGGTGACGGGTGCGAGCAGTCGGTGACACGTCAGGTGACGGGGGTGACGAGCAGTCGGCGACACGTCAGGTGACGGGGTGACGAGCAGTCGGCGACACGTCAGGTGACGGGGTGACGAGCAGTCGGCGACGTCAGGTGACGGGGTGACGAGCAGTCGCGCGACACGTCAGGTGACGGGGTGACGAGCAGTCGGCGACACGTCAGGTGACGGGGGTGACGAGCAGTCGGCGACACGTCAGGTGACGGGGTGACGAGCAGTCGGCGACACGTCAGGTGACGGGGTGACGAGCAGTCGGCGACACGTCAGGTGACGGGGTGACGAGCAGTCGGCGACACGTCAGGTGACGGGGTGACGAGCAGTCGGCGACACGTCAGGTGACGGTGGGGGGTGACGAGCGTCGGCGACACGTCAGGTTGACGGGGTGACGAGCAGTCGGCGACACGTCAGGTGACGGGGTGACGAGCAGTCGGTGACGCGCCAGGTGACGGGGTGACGAGCAGTCGGCGACACGTCAGGTGACGGGGTGACGAGCAGTCGGCGACACGTCAGGTGACGGGGTGACGAGCAGTCGGCGACACGTCAGGTGACGGGGTGGACGAGCAGTCGGCGACACGTCAGGTGACGGGGTGACGAAGTCGGCGACACGTCAGGTGACGGGGTGACGAGCAGTCGGCGACACGTCAGGTGACGGGGTGCGAGCAGTCGGCGACACGTCAGGTGACGGGGTGACGAGCAGTCGCGACACGTCAGGTGACGGGTGACGAGCAGTCGGCGACACGTCAGGTGACGGGGTGACGAGCAGTCGGCGACACGTCAGGTGACGGGGTGACGAGCAGTCGGCGACACGTCAGGTGACGGGGTGACGAGCAGTCGGCGACACGTCAGGTGACGTTGACTATGCGGCATCTTCTCCATGGTCAAGTCAGCGAAATTTTGCTTAAAAGTTACAAATATCACTTGGCGGGTGGCACCATCGTCAGCGGTTTGGCACCATCGTCAGCGGTGTGGCACCATCGCGTTGGAACCACACCAAGTCCATTTCAGCTAGATGCTGCTGTTTCCTCACCACCAGAGATTATCCGACGCTACGCTTTACCAACCCCCGCTTGCATATGTGTTTTCATATTCTCCCCAACAATAATGGCTTGATTTGGCGCTATATTATTACGTTTAGTTTAGGTTTGTAATTTAATTAAGTTCATACAATTAGGTTATTTAGGCGCTAGCAGCGCATGAAGATATTCCACTAACGTGCACAGGTTTTTCGGTGTTTCCTCTGGCCTGTCAGTCTAACTTGCCACATGACCAACTCCGGAGGTTTCCGTCGGTGACATCAGGCAAATAAAGATGCGTTCCATTTTAAGGCCAAGCTAATTCCTCTTATATTTTGCAGGTACCTAAAAATTCGTACCTATATATTACTTGATTTATGTAACACAGAGATCATTTCATCTAGTTTCATTTTCAGTGCTTGTGTCGGACGTGCAGATCACCAAAATACCTCACGTTCTCTCTATCCTTGACGCTTCATCTTGCCGTGACTTTGTATTTCATAGACACCTTGGCAGGCTTCAGAAGGTGCCATCAACACGGCCAGCATGGTCATCCCGCCTGTGGTAACTCCTCGCGTCGGGCGTCATAAAGACATTATCGACGCCCTCCTTCGTGTCTTCAGACCTTATAAGAGCATAAAATGCATTTGGCGGCCAGCACACTTTCCCGACCTGCGACGGAGCGTCCGCAACACGCATGACGTACTTTTGTCCGCTTACGTCTCCTATAGCGTTGAGGCGCTCCAAGCACGACCTTGCGACAGTGGCAAACCACCACTGCAGCTGACGCACCCTTCAAACCCAGACAACGGAACTGGTCTGAAAGCCGTCGGCACATAACGATTCTACCGTTGCTCAGCAGTGGTTGTCAAAGAAATGATCTGGACACTATGATTTGCATTACTTTTTCGTGGTCCTTCATGCTTAACGATGGAAATAACTTACGTTGGTCCATCCGACAACCCTATATCTCTCCGGGGAATGGGGAGCAAGACTCGAATGGCCTAGAGAGAGGGAGTGGGGTAGTTTAAAACTCCTGCAGCCTGGAGACTACATTGAGGCCTCTCCCGACCCCACTTCCATCCTCCTCTCTCGTAAGAGCACTGAGCACAATTTATAGGTGTCCAGGCCATTCCGAGCACTAAAAGTTAACACCTGCTTTACGTAGTGCTACAAATTTCAAGAGCCTTATGTTGCCGATGGGGCATTTAAGGAAAGCACTCGAGAACGATGTTCGAGGAAATGTAGCCGTTTCCACAAGCCCGAAGTCAACATAAGAAATGGCACACTTCAAGGTAGGAACACCTGTTTTCTTTGAAACGATGCATTCCGGCTATGCATGATGACACATGGGAATTTCAGAATGATCGGTCGCTCCAGGGGACAGGTAGTGACTGGGCCGTGTGTCTGTCGCACGACATGGGTAAAATCACAGGCACCGGTCGCGTGTCCTCCTTAAACGACTACTGGCCTCGTAAACGGCTATTTTATAACAAAAAAGCGTGTTGCCTCCCGAACGGAATTTTTCGGAGTATTGTGTACAATTTAGAAATGTGAAATTTTCCTTTTACTATCCATCCCATGAAAAGTTTGTTTTGCGGGGAAAATCATTAATTCCGGACCAAAACAAGCAGAGCGAGAAGTACCTTTGCGAGCATACCTTTCCGAACATTTTCGAGATAATCCACGAATGATATGCTGAGGTACCAGCGACGTCTACACAAGTCGCCGGAATGCAGGAATGCATCGTCCTGGATCCGCGCAGGAAAACAGTAAAGGCGCAACCAGCCTCCTCCGATAGTGCGGACCGACACCGCCGTCGCAGCGACTGGTCGCTCTCGCTCTCGCTCTCGGCTCTCGCTCCTCCTCTCGCTCTCGCTCTCGCTCTCTCTCCCTCTCTCTCGCTCTCCTCTCCTCTCTCTCTCTCTCTCGCTCTCTCTCCCTCTCTCTCTCGCTCTCTCTCCTCTCTCTCTCGCTCTCTCTCCCTCTCTCTCGCTCTCTTCTCCCTCTCTCTCGCTCTCTCTCCTCTCTCTCTCCTCTCCCTCGCTCTCTCTCCCTCTCTCTCTCGCTCTCTCTCCCTCTCCCTCTCTCTCGCTCTCTCTCCCTCTCTCTCTCCCCCTCTCTCTCGCTCTCTCTCCCTCTCTCTCTCGCTCTCTCTCCCTCTCTCCCTCGCTCTCTCTCTCTTTCGGGGAGGGGCGGGGAACACGGCTTATCGTGCACCCTGCCATTCAGCGCTACCAGCTTGGGAGCCACGCCGCCAGACGGGAAACGAAACCGGGGTCCCATTACGGGAGCCCGTGCCGTTGCTCTCAGGACGTGACGCCAGCTGGCTTCTGACCTCGTCGTTGCTGATGATGCAGGAGTCGTGCAGGATGTTGCCGATGTTGGAGAGCGCGGCGTCGCGCTGCAGCACGCTCTGCTCCACGGCGGCGTTCGTCTTCGCCATCTCGTCATCCAGCAGTTGGCGCACCCTCTGATGGAGGCGACAGGTCAAGACAAGCCAGGCCGGGCCAGGGTCAGGTCAGGTCAGGCCAGGCCAGGCCAGGCCAGGCCAGACCAGGTCAGGTCAGGTTAGGTGCCAGCGGACGGCTCTGGTGACGCGGGCGGCCAGACGCCAGACCGAGGCGACAGGTGAGCGACGTAACGCATTCCGCCGACCACCGAGAGTAACGGCGCGGCGGCGGACATACCGGTTGGCGCCCCACTGGCTGAGCAACACCGCACACCGATGACGGTGCTGAGTAATCAACACTGACACCAGCTGAAAATTGAGGCCAGCATGGCACTGCACGGTAGGACCGTGACTGTGCGTGCCCCACGATTCTGGAAGCGATCCTAGCCCACATTCCGTCCGTCGTCAGTCTGCAGCCGGCCTGCCGGTCAGCTGATCGGCCGGTCGGCCCACCGTCGTACCTTCAGCTGAGTGACGCTCAACGGCCGCAGCTGGTCGGCAGTCAGCTGAGCCAGCTGTGACGTCACAGCGTCCGGCAGGCGTCTCGTCGTCGCCGGCCGGCTCCTTTTTCTGCGGTGAGGGGCAGGGCGTCAGTAGAATTCGGGCGCAGCGCATGCTCCAAATGTGGAAGATGGGTGGGCCGGCCCGCGGCGCGAGCAGCGAACCGTTGAGAGAGTCCCACAACCAAACCTCGTAAGTCGCAAATTGTCAGCAAATAAGATCACATGATGTGCATACATGCACGCACACCATGCCACGACCTTGCTGACCATTCTTGGTAGGAACGATCGAACACGGCATGCTTGGGCCCGAGCTGCATCACCACCGCCACCTGCATCACCACCTTAGACTGCGACGGTTTGGTGAGCCGGGTGAGTCAGGAGTCGGACTCCGCGCAGTTTCTTACCAGATAACGCCAAAGGCTTATGTGAAGGGTCTTCCTGTTCAAAAATAAGAGGAGAAAGGCGGTATGAACCTTCCATCGCCCCCTGCCCTGCCTACCCCCTCCCCCCGCCTACGGCCAGGACACGCTCTGAGATGACTTCACGGGCGTCCGATGACTCGGCCGATGACTCGGCGAAACACAGGCCTTCCCGGAAGGGGGCCGACCGGACGCCACCGCAGCACGGGGACGGCGACCGCAGTCCAGGGGCGAGGGCCGCACAGCGAGTGCCGTGTCCGGCGGGCGCGCGGCACCGCCGCCGGGCCGCCGGGCCGACCCACGTCCGCTCTTAGAAGCCAGGTCATCACCGGCAGCGCGCGCGGCCGGACGCCAAACGTGCGGACATCCGGCAGATAAGAGCAGCCCGCTCATTTCCCGGAACACCGCTCACGGTGGTGGAACAACTGTCAGGGTCACTGAGGCCGATGGGACAATAAAACGTGGCAGCAGTTCGGGGCCTGGACAAGCCTGACAGGGGACTCCACGCCAGCCAGCCAGCACACCAGCGGCGAGGCCCGGCCGTGCTCAGCGGGCGCTTTGGGCAGTGAGCACCACGTCAACCACAACCCGGCGCCAGCTAAAACTGCAGCAGCCGCCTCCCAACTGAACCAGACCACAGTGCGACCCAGCCGAGCCCACAAGCGGTGAGGGCTGCGGGACGCCGCTGAACATCCGGGGCCGGGCACCCGACTGAGGCATCATGCTGGTCAGCACGGCTGACTGCGGGGCGCCGCTGAACATCCGGGGCCGGGCACCCGACTGAGACATCACGCTGGTCAGCACGGTTGGCTGCGAGGCGGTGCCCAACATCCGGGACCGGGCACCCGACTGAGGCATCACGCTGGTCAGCACGGTTGCTTAGGGCAAATTGCAAAAAGAAAAAGGGCAGAAACACACATGTCATTATCCCATTTCGATCCAACGTCCCGTATCCCATCGACAGATTCTCAAAGGTCTAGCCGTGGGTCGTGTTTCGAGACCTGCCCCCATCAGTCTCGGTTGCGAATGGCTATGTGAATTTGTGATGACCCAGACGGCTAGCGTGGTTGGTTCGAGTATGCAGAACTTCACCTCCCGGCTGCAACACAGCCGTCAGTTGAGCGAGACTGAAAGCCAATCAGGACTCGACTCCAAACACCACAACTAGCGTCCAATCGCAGGCATAGTGATCCACGAAAAAGGCACATGTTTTACTCTGCTAGGCGACTTGTCTCGAATTTTCGCTGCAGATGAACTCAAGCTATTGCGGCAGATGCGTAACACGATACGTGGCACATCGGAGTAGCAAGGAAATCACAAAGTCAAATGGTGAACATTATGATTTTCACAGAAATCGAGCACGTCGACGTAAATAAAAAGCAAAGGAACATTGTGCCACGTAAATGTGTTATTTAAACGTTTATCTCGTAGGAAACAAAGTGCTTCAAAATCACTAAAAAGTGCCGAACATGGGTAAAGAGGGTACTACACATCGCTAATAAGTGCAATGGCATCGCTAAAAAATGCATCAACGTCGCCAAAAAGGGTATCAACAGCGGTTAAAAAAGTACATCAGCATCGCACTCGGCGTCATACGCTAACGCAAAACCACGGCAACTACCATTTTGAAAACCGGCGGAACGCAACGTTAGTTGGATCATGCACCGTTCTAGTGACGAACTGCAGAGCCCAGGCTGTCTGCTGGCTCATCGACACATTCACCCAGTACCGGGCAGTGGTCACCTGACCCGAAGTACGGCGGATTCAGTACTTCCTCTCAACGCTCAACGCCTCCGTTTCAGAGGTGTAGTGGTGCTGGGTGATTTGAAGTGCATTGCCAGCCGTTGGTCGTCACCTTGCTAGCCATTCAAACAGCTGCCATGCAGGGCGAGGGTCGTCAGGGCAGAAGCGTGCGGGGCGGGGGGGGGGGGGGGAGACCGATCCGGCGGCTCTCCGCCGGAGCGTGCACCACTGCGGACACGTGGGAGGCGGAGAAGAAGGGAGGGTGGTGCGCAGTGCGCGGCCGGCCACACCTGCAGATCAGCCAGTCCCAGCCTGTCGAGCAGCGCCGGGTCGGCGCGGCCGTCGGCGGCCGGCGCGCCCTCGGCCTCCAGCGCGGCCAGGTGGCGCCACCAGCGCCGTACGGCCGGAAACTGAGCCGGCGGCGCCGCCAGATGCGCGCGCAGGCGCCGGTCGGCCGCCGACGCCACGTGCCCGCCCACGTACGAGAACTCGGCGAGGTGGCGCTCCAAGTCGGGCAGCCGCGGCGCCGCCTCCGGCCGCTGCCACCAGACGGCACTGTCAGCGGCCGGCGCACGACGCCGAGGGCGCTCGCACAGACTCTGGCCGACGGCTGAAGACGGCTGCGCGATATTCAACACGACTATCCCAAAAACATGTGAAAATCAGCAGCACAACCGCCCCTAGTCAATCACACACCACCTTCCAGTCGAGCCATTCATGAGATTTAAGCTCAACGAGAGCTGACAAAATACCAGACACTACGTAATCTAGTTAAAAGGGGTATTGCACCTTTTTTTGCACATTTCACTTATTGTAGCATCAGACACGAGCAGATTACTCAGAAAAAACAATTTCCTCGAAACCCTTCTGAACCGCTCAAAGTTTCCATTTGAAGTAGCCGACCGTGCGAGAGAAATATAATTTGACCCCCTGCTCATCACTATGACATATTTCACCGTGTGTGGTCTGCAGTGCTTACAACGCACTAATGTGTCAAAATGTCTGTTAAATAAATGTTGCAAAAGCTTAAAACACTGCCAAGGCAAAAAGATGTGCGAACGTAAAGCTATTAGCTCGCAATTCAACGAAACGTTACATTATGCCTTGGACATATCCCCTATGGCGTTTGTCACAGTAGCTCTTTTCGAGGCGCACTTTGGCTTTGGGAATGGGAGCATCACTTGATCCATGTGAAGCACTGGTTCAATTTTCCACTACCGAGCTACTTGGTAACAGGCCCTTTCCGCTAGACCATTCGCAGGCGCTCTTTCATTCGCACCAGTGGAACTGTCCACGGTTGTTGTCATGACAACGATGGTCGCAACGGCAGTGAGTGAGTGTAGTGCTGTTACAAAGCGTTGAAAGCGTAATTCGGACCCGAAAATAATTAAAATGGAAATCCTTGTTGTTTTCACGCTGCTACAGTGGCACTTCCCATCGCTATAATTAGGCAAAATAGTCATGCGGTTTCACTAGAGTATGTTTTTTATATAAAAAAGCATGCCCCAACGGTGGGACACTTCCTTTAATCGAGACAAGCGTGTTAGGGAATGTCGGGCCTGAGAACCAGCGCCCCGAACAATCCCATGGGACAACACGTGACCCGGAGCCGGGCGCGACGGCTAAGTGGCCCGGTGATCGCCGGGCGTACCTGCACCGGCTCGGTGGGCGGGGGCGGCGGCTGACCGCGCCCTGCCGTCTTGGCCGCCTGCGGGCACGGCCAGGCGAGTCAGGCAGCGACGGCGGACGGGTAGGGAAGGCTAGCACGGATGCGGGGTAGGCCCACACGGGGAGAGCACACCGACTCTCGCCCGCAATCAACCGACTCACTAAAAAGCAACCAATCAATCAATCAACCAACCAACCAGCCAGCCAACCAACCAACCAACCAACCAACCAACCAACCAACCAACCAACCAACCAACCAACCAACCAACCAACCAACCAACCAACCAACCAACCAACCAACCAACCAACCAACCAACCAACCAACCAACCAACCAACCAATGGCTCATCAGCCAGAGCAGCCTCAGCAGTGGCTACGGTTTGCCAAGTGACAAGAGCAGATTAGTGTGAGACGTGGGCATCGGTAAGGGTCACGTAGCTTGCGAACGACAGCATTTGCAGCGCGCAAAGCTCACTGCATGGCAAATCACGAAACGTCCTTCATCGATAATATACGTTGCACATAGCCCAGTATGCTGGTGTCAAACTCCCCCCCCCCCCCTTATACCCAAGCAAACTGATACAAGCAGCTGATTGCCTGAAACCTATCACATGACGTAGACATCGCATAGACATTACCTGAGCAAGGCAAACACTAAATGGGGGGGGGGGGAGATCTTGAGAAATGGAGATAACCACATGCAACGAAATGCACCAATGCTTGACTGAGTACAGCAAAACACCCATTCCAATCTTCAAGAGCGATGTGGCCCCACAGCACTAAACCAAGCCCTTGGGAAATAAGAAAACGACTGTCGTACGATGACGCAAATAAGAAACCAGAGAGATAAATATTCTTTAACAACAAACCTTCATTTTCTCTCCGATGACTTTGGAACACGCATTTTTCAGCTTGTTCCAGTTGTCAGCGTCGAAGCGATCTTGAAAAAACGACATTCATGATTAACACCCAGGGTGGAGGTACATAGCAAGTATATAGCAAGCACACACAAGCAAGGAAGTGCATGGCCATGGTAAAAGCATTCCAGCAGCAGCCTTTTCCTCACTTATTGGTCCTGGATACACACGCACACGCACACGCACACGCACACGCACACACACACGCACACACACACACGCACACGCACGCACACGCACACGCACACGCACACGCACACGCACACGCACACGCACACACACAGTGACAATCGCCTGGCAAGTTCGAATCAGTGCCAAATGGACTTCCATTCACACCTTACGGACACCGCACATGATATATGGCAGATTTGTCAACTGATAAATAAACATGGCTTGGACTTTGATGAGCTGTTTGAGTAAGGACGACAGGATTTCATGCAGGAAATTAGCCGACGTTTTCGTCGGGGAGGGGACAAATATCGAATATTTTTTAGAAACCCTCCGAATTTTGACCAAGGTGGTGCGACATCGCCCAGTATCACGCGTAAGCCCCTGAGGGGGGGGGAGTGCATACGGCCCCTTTGACCGTACCAGCACTCCAGAATTCAACCGATAGCGTGTTCCGGACCTAAATATAAATCCGTGCCACCCAAACCCTGACTCTCCGGCGGCCTGGGCCCGCGACCCGTTCGTGCTAATCCGTTGACCTTTGACCCTGAACCCAGACATGACCTGCCCGGCACACATGTCACAGCTGAGGCACTGAGATGCTCGGCTGACCGCGGCCCGGCTCTGCGCTGATTGGCTGATTTCGAGCAAGCGGATGGGCAGCAGGCAGTGATCCCCGAGCCGGGGAGGTTGAAGTACGAAAAATATTGACACCCCCGCCACGCAAGTGACCAAGCATTGGAACGATGGGCTCAACCATTTACTATTTGTCTGATACCATAGCATTTCACTTGAGGCCATCAGATTGGGTAGCTTGGTGCATCCCACATACGTTTCCTCCAGGCGTTGTCGTGATCCACCACCTTGTCCACCAGCGTAACATCTTTGTAACGATTCTTTTGCGATTTTCTGATCAGATCTGGGTCGCCACCCTTTTCCGCCCGAAACAGGTCGATGTCCAGCACCATCTTGAACTGAAATACAGTAAAATCACTGTCCACACAAGAGCAGGCAACAACACAGCACATGCTTAAGGTAACACATGCTACAGTTCAAGTGACAATCAACGCATTCAACCATTAATGGTTTGGTGGTTTCATGTAACTCTTCATGTGCCATCATTACTGAATGGTTTGTGAAACCACTAATGCACCAAATACATATAATGGCAAGACAATCCATTACAGATGCTGTATAAAATAAAAGGTATTACACAAAAATAAAATTGAATGTTTCCTAGAATCAGGAAAAATGATAATCTCAAAGGAGATATTCCATCAAACCAAGCACAGAAAAATGAAAAATGTCCAGTTTTGTGGCTGTGATGCTTCCTACCAACAAACTATCACAATGAAAAATCCAGAAACACCTGGTGCAGGACATTCTCCACCACTACACTGTGACACAGACCATCCTATTGCCCTTCAGGGATTTCGAATTTGTGTCATTGGGGATTTATGATTAAAACGTGTTGAAACGGTTACATGGTACCAAAGATACAAATCCACAACCCTCAGCTGTGATGCAGCCTGTTATGGTTTTAGTACTACCCCACTGATCTTATCTGCATGTGTAGTGATGTGCATCAAGGGTCTGTGCTTGGCTCATGTCAGTATTCTAGTGAGGTATAACATGTCGCTGCATTTCCACCATATGCCTGTTCACATCACTTCTCTTTTGTACAGCCTTTGTGGCAGTCAGACCCAAAGGCACCCTAGCCCCATCCACATAGGATTTGATGTTGCCAAGAAGGCCACAATTCCTGGCAAGATTTGTGAGGATTTGTCACCAATCACAACTTGTTGTCCACTACACAAGTCGGGGCTCTTTCTCTTAACCTGCACTCTTGATCGCAGTGGCATTAATTCATGTAAATTGGTCTTCAGTAATTCCCCTTTGCTTGGAGGACCCCATGTCCTGACCGAGTTCCTATATGTTAGCTTGTCCGGCACCCCGATCATTAAGGGGCCACCACGTTGGCCTTGGTGTCCTAACCTTAGAGCAGCAGGATGTGCACCAATGAAGTTTTATGCACAAATCTTGACCATAATTTTATGCTCTACTGACACTGTATTATGTCATTTCCAGCTGTTATTAAATTTGTGACACCTACAATACTTGTGCATCATGTTCTTAATGCATTTTAAATGCCAGGATATTTTGAACTCCATAATAGGCAAAGCAAAAACTCTGCATTGGTCATCAGCTATCAGCTGATCATGTCAGCCAGCCAGCTAGCCATAAATAGGCTAGGAATCAAGTTTGTGCTTGACTTTGATGGCATTTATTAGCTGAATTTAGTTAGTTGTCATGTTTTTTTCCAAAATATTTGACTTCAAAATGACAAAACTCTCTAAGCTCTGGAGAAAATGAATAAACTCCATGTGCATGAGTAGCATGCCTAATTTTCTAAGGCTGCCCCATATCTTTCTTAAAAAGTTTTGTTATAGAAAGGGTCCCTTTTAAAAGTGACATGTTGAGAATCTCAAGAGCTAATGGCTTTTTCTGTCAGTGCTGATCCCTACCATCTGACAGTGCAATTCCAAGACAACAGCAGAGCCTGGCACTGACCATCTAACATGCCATAAAGCTGATGCAGTCCACTGTGCCCTTTGTCCATTGTTGTCTGCGATGCAGGCCAATGCCTGATGGGGACTTCATGACACCACAGGACCCATAACATTTGTGCAATGTCTGAGTCTACAGCCATGATCTTGCTCTCTTTGACATCCTCCTATGACAATGCCACCATTTGTAACATGCAGCATATTCACAGCTAGGAACACAGCAGGAGCATAAAACTGCAGCATTCTCCAATGCATCCAGAAAGGTGTCAAGAATGTCAACATGAATGGATGGTACTAGAATCCTGGTTCTCCAGCAATCTCTGTAGCAATCTGCTGGTGCCATTGATCACTCTTGACTCAAAATCCAGACTTCTGACCCACCCAGCCCTATTAACAGTTTGAGGCAATTACATGCTTGGTTGACCACAACCCAGCTCTGTACAAATTGGCCAATTTTGAGGAAGGGAGGAATAGATAATAAATTTGAAGCTGAGGGTGTTGAAGCATGAAATTATATACCAGTCAGCTCTACACAAATTTTGTTTCCTTTTGAATGAGCCAGTGCATTGTCTGGCCCAACTGAAGTGGAAATGCCAGCTGGCAACTGGCCAACTAGGATCAACCCATCCCCTCCAACAGTTGTGTCCCAGCATTGTGGAGCATGTGAAATCATCCACATTGCTGTCTGGTGAAAGGGTGGGGGGCAAGCTAAACAACAAATGCTGTACTGGAGTTGAACACAGTCATAAAAAATCAAATTCTGGCAATGTGGTTAGCAGGGAGATCCCAACACATCACTGAGCTTTTATGTATTAGTGAGCATGCATATTCCCCTGCATAATGCATGCATGGGCTGCATCTTCATACAGGGCACAGAATTGCATGCAATGATGCTAGTCTGCAAAAGGTGGCAGACCACCAAATCCTGGCCCCTTAAGGCATTTGGGGCAGGTCTGCTCCTGCCCCAAATGGGGCAGCCAACTTCTCTGCTTGGTTCTTGGGGCAGGAGCAGATAATCTGATGACCAGCAGGCTTACATACCAAATAGTACCCTTGGAGGGTACCAACACAGCCTACCCCATTAGGCAACTTCTGTCCAAAATTTCCCAAACCTGCCCTTCATGTCCGACAATGATCTGCTGCACCCTAAAACCATACAAAACTGGCAACAAATGACCAATGGGGAGCTCATAAATACCATATGGTAGTTGGCACAACATGAACTCATGCAAAATCAAATGCACAGCAAACTAACCAACAGGTATGATGAAGCTAGATAACATGAGACCATGGGGAGGCTAAGCCTATAAGAAAAAGCATTAACATAGGTGGTATTTTATGAGCTACATTGTACCGAACCGTGGTAATATGCAGTCACCATGCTTCATCTGAAACTGAATTGAACAAGGCTTGAAATATCAACATTAAACCATACAAATACCTTCCCTATAGTAACACAAAAGGTCCTAAATAGGCTAAGATGGTCATAGGTTATTCTCACCGTCAATGTCCCTGTCAACGTGCTTCGCAGACAGCGGGCCCCCAGTAATTCCCCACCTCGACGCCCAGACTGCACATGCGGTGACGTCCCAGGATGACGTCCCTCAATGCGGTCAGTACCCGCGCTACTGCACTCTGGGTAGGCCGCACTGTGACGTCCACATGGGAATAAATCATATGCCGCGGCACCAACGCTGCGGCGGCGTGAAAACGCTGTTCTTTGTGAGTTGGTTTTAACATAAACGTATCCATAAGCTGAACTTTTTCGACCAAGCACATTCAACAAAGCATTTTCAGTCGGCACATGGCGGTGGTTTGCACCAGAGCCACAAAATTATTGTTGAGATGCGCTTCCAGCCTGTCCCCGACAGAGAGATAGGGTCGCAGCTTCCTACGACGCGCATTGAAAAGTTAGACTGCACATCCTCTAGCGTTAGGAGGGGCGTTGTCCGGGTGAATGCAGGGTTGGCCTGCCCTAATGGGGTTGTTAAGCCATGAGCCCCGGGAGACGTAAATGCAGCGTGCCATTTCAGTTCAAGATAGTAGATTTTCCCGTGACATAGGACGATTTTTGGCAAGTTTTGCAATTTCTGACGGTTAAATAGTCGTGGCCAATGACTCAGCTCGGAAATGGTCTAGGGGTATATTAGGGCAATCGGGGAATCATTTCTTGCTTACTCTTATCACATAGCCCATTCGACATTATGCAGCTCTTGGCCTTGGGTTGCCGGACTGCGCTGCCTAATATCAGTGCATACTACACTCCACGGATTTTAGTGCGAATCGGTACTGAACACCATCCCCTTTTAGCAAGGATACGTACTTAACACTTTTGAGGACGCGTTGACCCGGAGAGCGGCATTCTGGTGCACAAACTAAAGTGGTAACCCCGGAGTGCAGTTTTGGGTTCATCTGGTGCTACCGAATTCATGATTCAAGTCTTACGCCAAGCGCTTATCTTGGCATTAGACGCGACGGATCGTCCTCGAACAGGTTGTTTCGTGGGTCCTATATTACCCCTTCGGTCCTTGAACTACATCCAAAATTGTGCAAGGTGTGAAGTTTCTCTTGCATTCATGTTTACTTTGATCTTATAGATCATTCCACCGACCAAACATGCTGTAATACATGCAATCTCTGATGTTCGTTACCACACGTGCGGCCGCTCTCTGGCCGTAAAAGGTGTACCCTCAGTGACGTCACATGGGGATCCTGCTGAGAAGCGCGTCGTGGGGATGATTCCATCCAATGTACACCGTCTTGCTCCAAGCTGCCCAAACCACGAACAGGGAGGCAAATTGTCGGCAAAGGTGTGTGGGAGGGGGCTGTTGAGGTGCACGATAGGGGGCGGCGGGTTATGTTTGTCTGGTAACATGGAATGTTTGTTCATGCGACTGAAAAGAATCACTTATATGCTGATACTAATAACTGATACCTGCATACCACTCAGAGTGATCGAAGATATGTGGAGTTATCGTATTCGCTTTTTATTCATCTTTTGCTAGCTAGCATGCTGGCGGGATCACGCTAACAGAGAGTCTGACTCACGTCTGAATTTCAATAGATCCACTGTGTCACAATGATAATGATGTGAAGAAAAATATGGAACTCTTAACTGTCAGTGAAAAGTGGATTTGAAAAATTTCTGTTACGGCTATTTCCTTCAGTGTTTGGATAACGAACATGAAATGTAGAAAAGTGACCATGTTTGCCTGCATTTAGAGCTCAGTTTTGTGATTTTTATCAACTGACTCCATGGAAAATGAATCTGACATTGTGCATTGCACTGCAGGATGACATGGCAGCAAGCCCCCTCATGAGTAACATTGTGACCATTGCAAGGAAGCCATGCGGTGTGTGCATCGCCATCACCAAGTGGATTCCAGTGATCTTTATCCTGGCAGTAGTGTGCTGGTCTTATTATGCATATGTGGTTGAACTTTGCCTAGGTAAGACAACCATCACATTTTAAGTGTTCTTGTAGTTTTTATTGGTGCTGATACTTGTGTGAAAATCAGTGTACTTGTATTTATGTGCACATTACATTTGATGACCTATGCCCAGCTGGTATGGTGTAGCATGTGTTGTTCCCTTTACATTGACATGATGCCAAATATTGGTATTATGCTGTATTGAATACAACATGCCTGTCCTGATAAAGCATCGATGTCTCCACTTCATTTTCCAGTACTGTGGAGAGCTATGCAGAAAAGGTGGTGTATCTGATGCTCTACCACATCTTGTTGCTGCTATTTCTCTGGGCTTACTACCAGACTGTGATGACACCAATAGGAAGAGTACCTAAACAGGTAATTACTGATCATGCATTCTGGTGAATGCTTTTAGTTTTAAGCAAGGGATGGTCCATTGTGTTTAGATAGATTGTGTTGTAGGCACTATGCCATAAAAGGGTTTCATCTTACACAAGTCTTACTGATTTTATGAATTGTGTACATGGTTTGGCATAAAATGATATGAAAAGCAGTGTTTGGGTTAACATGATTAGTACATGCAATGCATGCATATATGAAGGCTGCATCACAGGCAATTAGCTGAATAGTGACCACCCCACATCCTATTTTCCTGGTGTGCTCCAAAGCTGACAGTAGGGCTGATATCAATTGGTGGTGGGCTGTGACACATCCATTTGTTTGGTACCACCTCCTCCAACGAGCATACAGCACGCTGCAGTCATTGGTGGCTGGCAGCCTGTCTGACAGCGACAGCAGCAGGCTTGGGCTGGTTAAGCCCTCACACTAGTGGCCAGTGCCCGCGGTGGGACGCCCCGCGTCGGCACCGCCATCGGCGACGCTCGGGTATGATGGATGCGCCCCGCCGGGCGCCAGACGGCGACTCGCGCACTGCTCTCTGGGCGGGCTCGAGCGTGTGGCGGCGCCGGCTTGATTCGACTCCTGGAGGGGCACGAACGATCCGTTTGTGTGACGTGCCGGCCAGACCGTGACCGGCTGGGTCAAACCGAGCGGGGGCCCGTTCTTCGCGGGAGGGCTCTACCGCGGTGCGGATGGCATGCAGCGTCCCTTCACCCGCTGCTGGCCGGCGCCGGTTTGCGTGTCACAATGTCGACCCCCAGGTGGTGTCTTACCAGTGACGTATGGACTTAACCGGACATATCGCTGTGGAGCTCCTTGCATCTCTATTTTGGACGCATCGTGGCGCCCACCGGGACTTACACAGTGAATATCTTGTTCGGACCCTCAATGAATCAACAAATTGTAAACGGGGCGTTTTTTTCATTACTGGCTGTTATCGGTTCATGCCATATCCACCCCAGAATTTCTCAAACAGCCTAGCCATGCATATGTGTTTGCGTGCGTGCGTGCGCGTGCGATACGTACTTGCATGCGTGCGCGCGCGTGTGGCGGTGTGGCCGCGCTGGGCGCGGCTGTGAGGCCGGGGAGGCCGGGTGGCCGGTCCAGCGCTGCTGTCAGCTGCGCAGTCTGACCGGGGCCGGTGGCGTTGTTCAACAGTTCCGCCTGAGCCCGGCCGACCTGGAGCGGTTCGAGGCGACAGAGGATAGCAGCCTGCAGATCCAGATCCTGGACAAGCACGCCGCCGACGGCTGCCTGCCCACCTACAACCGCACCATGTCCGGCAGTGAGTGGTGTTATCCGTGTGATGTCACCCGGCCGAACGGGGCCCGGGCGGCGCGGGCTGCCACGTGCTGTCCGTCCCGGAGCAACCGCACCATAGTGACTAGAAAGTGGGCGCGCTGAGTGCATGCTTGAGTCCCTTCTGTTGCGTGAACGGTGGGCTGCCCCTTCTGTGTCACTGGGGAGAATGTGATTGTCGAACGCCCGAGGGAGAAATGACCGGAGACCGTGCGGCGTGACATCACAGCTGGTACCCCTCACTTGGAGGTAACCAGAAGTCGCCAATCGCTGTGTTGGCCTCGTCGCTAGCTGTGCCGAGCTTGCCGCACTCGCCTTTGTAACTGGCCGGCCCTCCCGGCCCAAACTGTCCACCGTCGAACTGGTGTTTCGCTTGTCGTTGATCGCTAATTGTATCAAGAGGAGCGGAGCGTGTCACATATTGGCTGGGGGGGCCGGTGTTCTCGGAGCCAGATGTGACCGTCCTCTCCGGGTGCCGGTGTTCTCTGGATCAGATGTGACCGTCCTCTCCGGGTGGCAGTGTTCTCTGACCGGGATGTGACCGTTCTCTCCGGGTGCCGGTGTTCTCTGGATCAGAGGTGACAGTGTTCTCTGAGCCAGAGGTGACCGTCCTCTCCGGGTGCCGGTGTTCTCTGAGCGGGATGTGACCGTGTTCTCTGAGCCAGAGGTGACCGTCGGCCCATGATGCCGGCAGCGCTGCGCTACTGCGAGCGGTGCCGTCTGATCAAACCGGACCGGTGCCACCACTGCTCGGTGTGCGGCGAGTGCGTGCTCAAGATGGACCATCACTGTCCTGGGTGAGCGGGGCGCTGCGCCAGCCGACTGCCTCGGCCCGTGCGCCTGGCCGCGCTGCCAGGCGACGCCGCCGCCAGTGCTTGGCGGCAAGGCGAACCGTCCCGCCAATGTCGAGGCAGGCGGACGGCGTCGCCAGTGCGGCGGCAGCACCAAAAAAAACTCCGGACCCCCGCAGCTCTGGCGGCGCGGACGTACCGCCGGTGCGTGGCGGCAGGCTGACGGGTGTGGGAATTATCAGTGCCCAACCGGGTGGACTTTTGTGCGCTTCTTGCCCTTGAAAGTCAATCTTCGACTTCCACGGGTAGAGTGTGTCAACCAAGTCCTGAAAACACAGGGGTTTTGTCAATGCAATGTCATTTTATCTAGCAGTACTGCATACCAGCATGTGCTATGCTGATACTCAAGGTGGAAAGGCTAGTCTTGGCTGAGATGGTACTTTGCCGCATTCTGGCGTGACTCATGCTTTTCTCCCAACATGTTCAAAGGAAATGTTGCTGTTTTGTGGACACTCATTTCCCCAAATGTGATAACCACTACCACGGCCGCCTCCGTGTTACAAGAAGTCAGGGCCATGTGAGCTAGTGAATTTAAAGGCTTGGCACGTGGATTGATAAGATGTCCGGAGAA